TTTTTTGATCTAAGTAGGAGCATGATTGATACTGATGTATCGCGGAATCTCACCTTCTGGTCGTTCTGATTATAGATGCTGATCGTGATAGTCGATCTTGATCCATTGTGGCAAGTCATCCACGCATACTGAGATGGCCTGTATGTAATTAGCTGACCAATACCAGCATCACCTCTGTCAAAAGCACTCAGGATATCACCAGAAGCAACATACTCGTTTTTGATCAAATCACATCGTACGATGTATGACGAGGTTGGATGAATTTGAGGAATACCATTGGATAATTGAGCACTTGCAACTGTTGCTGATGTAGGTGGATAAGTAGCGACGGACAAACCAACAACCGAACCAAATGCAGCATTATTGATAATCAGACGAGGAACGCGAGTCGTTGTAGGTAAACCACTACCTCCAGATGAGTATAGACCTGTAGCAGGCCTCGTATATCCGACAGGAAGACTTGACGGAGTCGGAGAGAAATCTACCTGTGCCGCGTAGTAGACACTGTTCTCACTTAATTTAATATAAAATACGTTATTTCCTGTAGCATCAATTAGATAGGCTCCTGCATTCACTAGAGCTGTCTGAATGTTTCGATTGATATCATCATAACTATAGTATCCATCTTGAAGCGTTATGCTAATCGTAGAAGTGGTTGCGGCCGTTGGAGCCTCAACCTGGAAGATCGTGTTCTGAAATTGGATTGAATCGATGTTGTACTCGCTGTTGAAGAGACTGATTGATTGAATCGCACAAACAACATCCCTGAAGTCAGCTGCTGAGCCTGGGAATTGATATTTCCATGAGGAATTGTACCCATCTGCTACAAGATTTGTTGAATCGATCTTTACAAAACTCGCCATTGTATATCTGCTATATATCATTATTGATAATCTATTCATAGATTTCAGTATCAATTGGCTTATCAAAATTGTATCTGATTTGACCCTTTACAGAGTCTATGAGCAACATCTGTCCTTTTCTTTCAGTCGCGCGATTGTAATAATAGACGATTGACCGATCATCCACGTTCTTGATATTGAAATCTTTAACGACCATTTGCAAATCTCTCTTTGAATTCGCTTTCAGGATTGCAACGTATTCCGAGTTCAACCGGATCATCTTGTCAGTTGCAAAGTAGCTATGTGAGAGGAAAATAGTTGATAATTTGAAGTGTCGGCCCCTGGTGTAGTAATGAGAAAATATATTCTTCTGTAGAAGCTTATCGTTGCTATAATCGTCTATGATAACGAGCTCGGGTTTATTAGAGCTCAATGGTGTATGACGTACCTGATCGACACGGGGAGGATTATCGGGGTC